GCGCGGGCTTGGCGGGTCGCGCTCTTGGGGGGCGGCTGTTGTTTTCCCCTCGGTGCTTAGGGGGTGTGAAGGCCGGGGCGTGTGCGGCGCGGAGCTCAACTGCTTAGCCGCTGGGGGATGATGTAGGAGGGTTGATTAGCTTTCCTAATTAGCGTGAATAATTCGGGGCGCTGCCGGCGAAAGCGATTGCCGGGGGCTTGCTCGGGGGCTTCTTTTTCGGTGGGTGGGATAATTAGTGGCCCCTTTTTTCGGGATTATTGGGGGTGTGAAGGCCGGGGCGTGTGCGGCGCGGAGCTCAACTGCTTAGCCGCTGGGGGATGATGTAGGAGGGTTGATTAGCTTTCCTAATTAGCGTGAATAATTCGGGGCGCTGCCGGCGAAAGCGATTGCCGGGGGCTTGCTCGGGGGCTTCTTTTTCGGTGGGTGGGATAATTAGTGGCCCCTTTTTTCGGGATTATTCTTCTTTCCTCTCCACGTCCCACCCTCCGGTTTTCACTGGTTTAGTTGGTTCCCATATGTATCTTTTACACTGTGCCTGGCGGAGACGGGGAGCATTTTAACCTCCATCCCCAACTTTCCCACCATCACACGCAGTGCTGCCCGGGAGGACAGAAGCAGCGGCCAGGTTTGTGACTTTAAACAACCACGTTTCTTCAGGCGTGCATTTGAACTCGTGCTGTGTCCTCCGCCCCAGACTCGTGTGCTGTGAGAATTCTCTGTCTGTGGTGGTTGTGCGTGTACCATAATATCTGCATTTACACACTCGTGCTTGCAGTCTGTATATTCACATGCATCACTGTGTAAACATGTTAAAATACATAAAGGGGTGCAAAAATGCGGGGGCGAGTGTTTGTATGGTTCTAAAATGCGTACAAGCGTGTATCCTATACTCTTATAACAAAATCCTTTCAACTGGGTTTCTTTCTCTTTAGTTGACTCTTTTTATTTTAATATTCGTTTTTTTATTGTTAACTTCTGCCATCATTCACGTATGATACATAGTGCCAAAGACGATTCAAGTGCTGAATAGTCATTAATCTTCCACTATTTAAATTTACTAAATTATGTAAGCAAACATCTTTAGGAAATGGATTTTATCTTTTGGTTATTTGCTTCTGTTTAGAAACCACTAGGCTTTATGGGGCTATGATTTCATTCACATGAGCATGCTTCTGAGTTTAAACATGGTTCAGTTAATTTAATAATTTTGTGTCTTGATTGGCTTCAAAATGTGATATTTGAAGGGTGTAGAATAAAATATAAAGCATGAATTTTCTTCCTGTATTGACATACCTGTTATTGAATGCAGTTATCCTTGGGTAACCTCATTTGTTCCCTATTAAGACTTCTGATTTTGTATATTTTATATAAATTATTTTACTTAAGGTCACGCTCCCTAAAATTATATCCATCTGATTTTTCTTCATATCTTGTGTCTGTCATTTTCTTTTTTCCAGGTTACAGTCTGATTTCCTGGTCAATAGGTTGGGTTGTTTTTTTTTATGTCTAATATAAATCTTTCTTTCCATAGGTGTTGGTGATTCCAGACCAGACAGTTAGGGGTTCAGTTCTCAGGAAGCAGAGACGCAAGAGGCTTATTGGATTGAATCTATTTTGCGCAGGGCGCCACAGCTCTACATCAATATCCTATCTTCTCTTGCCCACCCTCCTCTCCCCCAAGGGGGGGGGAGGAGCTGGGAATCACTTTTAATACCCCCACCCCTTCCCCAGCACACCTTGGTCCCTGGGGCAGACGCCAGGCATCACCCATTGTTGTATTAGGAGAACATAATCCTCGTCGCTCCTTTCCTGGCTTTGGGGGCTCCAGCAGGACACTGTTCCCTCCCTTGGAGTGCAGATCAGAAAGGCACTGAGAGGACTTCATTAGCACCTTCTTCTCAGGGGACATCAAGGAAAGAAGGTTACCTGCAAGCCTTCACTTCACTGGGAGAGCTGGGACTGAAGCACCAGCTATTGGAGGCACTGAAAGAAGCACCAGTCTTTCACACCCCTTCATCTCCTGCCCCCTGCTCCCCAGTCCTCTGGTAAGTTGTACCACATTAATTCATTGGATGCTCTTTCCCCTCCCCCACTGCTACAAGAGAGACATGTAGAGATATTGAGAAGAGGGTGGGGGAAGGGAGATGAGAGAAATGGTTATGTACATGTTTTGGGGGGGGAGGTGTATCACACACCCACTCTGCTATGGAATAAGGACAGAAGCCTGCTGTCCTCAGACAGTGTAGAATTTATACCTTATGTGCACACTAGAGAGGTGTGTAATAGCTTTGAGTCTCTGAGAGAAATGAGATGGATATAACATGTTTACAGATCAAGTAGTGGTGGGGAGTTAATGTTGACCAATATCAGTTTTTTTAAGGCAGGGAGGCAAGGGAATAGATTACTCGCTGAAGATCAGGAACTGTGGTGTATGGGTGAAAAATGTTCTCCCCTACTTGCAAGCTTGGAGAGATGAGGAAAGAGGGGGCAGATATGTCTGTGTGTGAGGGAATTGTGTGAGATGGGCTGCAGGTATCTTTAAGATTACTCAGTTGAAGGGAGGAGATTTGAGCCCATAAAAGTAGGAGGAGGTTCTGCAGGAAAGAGGGCATACTGTAAAGGAGGCAAAAAGGAAGATGATTTTATTTTTTTATTCTGTAGTCTTGTTTACCACACAATATGCTTACCATGGTCCTTCCTCCTTGGACTGCAGTAATCTACAAGTACCAAAAGGAGATGGGGAAGAAGGGTGTATGAATACAGTGCTTATGATTTCAAAGAAGTGTGTTTTAGATTCACCTGCCTGCAGTGTTTAAAAATTGTATAATGTGTATATGGGGAGGGCAGATGATGTGTAGGAGTGATGGATGGATTAAACTGCTGTTCAGGATACCATGGATTTTTGTTTTATTCCCTCCCCCCCAATTTCATTGTTTTTTGTAGTCTTTTGTTTTCTCTAAAGGCCTTGAAGCAGTCATGTTGGTACATGTTGCCGTTTTTATAAGAACATCTAATTTTTAAAAACAGTGAGCTGACCTGTGGCACTTTAAAGACTAACAGTTTTATTTTGGCATAAGCTTTCGTGGGTAAAAAGCTTATGCCCAAATAAATCTGTTAGTCCTTAAGGTGCCACAGGACTCTTCATTGTTTTTGCAGATATAGACTAACATGGCTACCCCTCTGAAACTAATTGTTATTTCTGTAATAAAGGAACTCTACTCCTTGAGGCTGTCCCTAGGCATCTATGTAGTGACATGAGGGTGGGTTGCATTTGTTTTGGTTTTATTTTTTAGTAATATAATAAATGGTCAAAGATATTTTTTAAGTAAGTCCTTATCTGTGAATATCCTATTGGTTAAATTCTTGATTCATAACTGTTTCTGTAAGTTTTTTTTCTTAGGTGCTGATTGCCTTGGTATCTATATGCACAGAAGGTAGAATTAGCTACTTCCTGTACTTCAATTTAAAATATTTTTGATTAGTTCTTTTTTCAGCATGACATAGGGAGCAGTTCTGGTTCCATAATGTAGTCATTTATCATGACTCTGCTCCCCTTGCACAATGACTCTGAAATTCAGCCACAGTCTTTTTCACCAATGTATGATGGATGGCATTTTGCTAACTGTCCCACCTTATCTCATCCCTGACATTGATCAGAATTATTATGGCAATCATGGGCTAGCTATCTTCCTTCCTGCTATTTATGTCAGTCTCGCAAAGGTCCTTTGCCAGTCTTGTAGCTGTTGATCCCACTGTCTTAAGGTGTGGCCTTGAAATAATGTAGAAATTGCCATCATGGAATAGGCATCTGTTCTGTTTAAAGTATAGTCCAGTATCTGCTTATTCATGAGGATTTGGGGGAAAGTAAAATAACCTTCCTCTCCCCAATAATGTGCTAACGAGAGTATTAAGAATTTGTTATAAATCAGAAACAAGGGAGTGCGTAGTAAAGTGTGGTGGGTGGGGTTTCTTTTCTTGATCACCTTCTCCCTGGGATGATCAGATTTCCTCCCACCTTCTGAATAAGATTTGATTACCATTATAGCCCCCAAATCTGAGCTGATAAGGCTCAAATAGACTTTGAGATCTATTAAAAATAAGATTAGCTTTTACTAATAACTCTGGAGTAGCTTTGGATGTAATTGAGACCAGAGTCTAACCCAAAAGACTAGAAAAGAGTTAATGAGAGATCCTCTCCAGTATCTTGTGCCCCCCATACTATTCTGCAGACAGTGGGAATATACCATAACCACAGATCACAAGCCAGACCAATTGAGGAATCTAAATGACGTGCAGTCCTAATGTTGTGAAACATCTGGAATTTCATTCAGCATTCCTTCACAGAATAAATTAAGTGTGTTGGTGTTTTTATTTAAAATGCAGCGGACTCTTGTGACAGTGGCACATTGGGGAAAAAGGCTATGGAACAGTTTACTTCTACAATGGATTGATTCTAATTCAGTCACTTGTCAGTAATACCTAAAGGAGTTACTATCTTGATGGTTGTTCAATTTGTGCCGTAGGAATTGTTGGATTCTCAGTTCATCTGCTAAAGGAAAACTCTTCACATTACAAACAAAAAAATAGATTAGCACAGTTGTTCCTTTTGTTGGCTGACAATAGTCCATGGAGATACTGCATTGCTAGAGGTAAAGGTTGAGATGCACTACCATACTATCCATAATCAAATCACTGGAGGGTTGTGACTGATTTAATCTCTCTGAAGCAGATACAATCCCTGATTGCAGAGATAGTCTAACTGGCATTGAGTTAGCTGTGGTCCTTAATGGGATTTTTGTTGTCACTTTCGATCAGGTAAGTGGGTCGAGCATTTGATTGTTTCCAGTTTGGAAATTGTGGCTTTCAGTGCAAAGGCTTTTCAGCCATCCTAATATCGGAAGATGTTTACACATCATCTGCTTCCCTTTCCCCCTCATACATGGATTTTTGGAATTAGTACTCCCATAGACACTATGGAAAATATTTAACACACATGCGGCGTTATCTTAGTCTGTGTCTGTTAGATCATGGTGGGTGGGGTTAGTTTCTGGGGAGGAGATCTGGAAATCATATTCTACTTAAAAGCTGATGCTGTATGCAGCTGTCTGAAGCTTGGTGTACGCTGGTAATATATGTCAGTATAACTGTGTTGCTCTGGGAGTGGATTTTTCACAGTAATGGCATCTAATTCCTGGTGTAGACGATGCTATGTTGACAAGAGACCTTCTCTCGTAAGCATAGCTGCTGCCTCTTCATTACATGGATTACCTACCCTAGTGGGAGAAGCTCTCCCATTGATGTAGGTGGCTTCTTCACTGAATAACTACAGCAGTGCAGCTGCAACCCTTTAAGTGTAGACAGATTTTGAGAAGCAGACATTCCTCAGAATATTATTGAGAATATGGGCAGTTCTCTTGAGATGCTGGTGTTAATGGAACAAATTATATTTTTTTTCGGTGTGTTCCTAATGACACTAACTTTTAAGAATTCTAATGAGAGCTTGAAGCTGAATTGTCCAGACTGTCTTTCTGATCAGAATGCTAAAATAATGGTGATAAGATATCTTTACACCCCTGCATGACTTTCTTAGACTGTGAAACAGGTGGTGATCATGTGCTATGATGCTGGCAGAACAGAAGACTGGGAGCTAGGATTTGTAAGTTCTTTCCTCATCTCTACTGGTTGATTTGTTTTCTGGCCTTAAGCAAGTTCCTTAACTCTGTGTTCCAGTCAGTAAACTGGGGCTGTTTTCTACCTGCCTTACAAGGATGTGATTTATAATGTTTAAATGTTATAAACCACATTTAGATCTTCAGATGAAAGATACCGTAGAAAAAGAAAGTCCTGCTTCAAAGAAGGCTGATTTATATCTGTTGTTTACATAGATCAAACTAATTTGCAATTTAAACAAATTAGTTATAAGATATTTCTGATGTGTACATCATCTTAATATATATGTGACAGTATCTAGATGACTTTTCTCCTTCCTGGTCCTATTACATCTATGCATGAGAACTTGAAGTCTCCCACTCCTATGCTTGTTCCTAAGAAAGGAAGAACCAAGATAATCAGGAAATAGACGGCTGAGTCTCTGCAGTGTTCAAGGATGGAAGTAGTGTTAGGTTGGGAAGAAGAGATTTGAGAGAGGGGAAGTGAAAGGAAGAGATTCCTTTTGGCAGAGAAACTAAGGGGCAAATTGGTGGCAAGCAGTAGGAAACAAGCACAAGTGAGAGTACTTGATACTTGTTTTGATACTGGCAAGGGGATGAAATGTAGGGTTTGTTTCTATAGAGAAAAATTGTTAATTTAGATTGGAGATGTCAATGTATAATTGACTACAGGATTAACTGATAAATCTGGATGGGGGGCAGGTGGGAGCCGATATGCACAAGGAATCAGCTTTCAGGCAGGCTGTCCATGCGTGCTGTCTCTGTGGACCCGCCTGCCTCCCCGTCCTTGCTGCCTCCTATAGAGGGAGGGGAGCCAGTTTAAAAGCCCCTGCTTGCTCCCTCCCTGCCCTGCTGCCTCTAATGGGAAGGGTAGGCTGCTGTGAAGCAACCTCTGTCCATGGTGGTTTGGGTTCGCTGTGGACAGAAGCTGGTTCATGGCAGCAGCCCCAGTCTGGGGGGCGGTTCCGAGCTCCCCGTGGACAGAGGCTGCTCCGGCATCCTACGGAGCACCCTCTGTCTGTGTTGAGCCTGCGCCCACCATCGACAGAGGCTGCTCTGTGGCAGCAGTCCCTGTCCGTGGGGAGCTTGGACCCCTATGGACAGGGGCTGCTGCCACCCCACAGTGTTGCCTCTATATCACAGGGAGCAGCACAGAGTGACAGGCAGCCAGTCTGCATAGGGAGCTGGTTTTTAACCTGTATCAGAGGCAGCAGCAAGGCATGGCAGGGGGCAACCCAGGAGTGGTGCCGGGAGTGCACTGGCTGCTGGCTCCTACACCAGAGACTATCGAATAGTCATGTAACCGCCAAGAATTAATGCGGTTATACAACTATTCAGTTACATGATATCTAACATCTCTAATTTATATACACTACTTATTGGTGTGGAAAAAACAACAAATGGTCTGGTAGCACTTCAAAGACTAACAAAACATGTAGAAGGTATCATGAGCTTTCATGGGCACAGCCCACTTCTTCAGATGACTGGAGTTACTGGTATGGACACTCATTGCAGAGTGCCTTTGTTTGTATATTAGCTTAATGCACTTTGAAAGTAAACTAAGATGCCTGAGTGTATTCTTAGTGTGCAGGAAGAGTGTCCACATGGGGAATTAGTGTGGGAGTTACAAGTGTGCTTTAAATTCACACCCTAGCTTAGTGTATGCTAATTTCCTTGTATATACAAGCCCCTTGAAATACATGCTGCAGACTTATAATAGTTTTAAAAATCAAAACATGTCCGTCTGTATTTGTATACATTTGATGCTTTATGGCTTGGTTTAAAATAAGGTATGTCTGCCTGGTTAAGGGTTATAGCGTACTTTTAAGGAGGAGGACAATAAGTGGCTTCTTTCTGTCTGCCATTAGTAAGGAAATGTTTGTAGAGAGTAGAAAGGCTAAACTGACAAGGAACCTACTGAACTTGGCTTTTCCTTTGCTGTTTATATTTTGCTCTTTCTGAACTAAATATCCTCTTCCAGTGCTTAATATGCTGCCAGCAGAGCTTCAGTAACCTGCTAGCCATAGAAGGAAACCTTAACCTAATTCCCAGAGGCTAATACGGAAGATGAAGTAGGGCAGAGCTGCAGAATTGCCGGCTAGTGAGGCCCAGGTTCCTAAGTTTCCAAAGAAATAGCAGTAGAATGATGTTGATACGATTTTTGGCAACTTTCTTGCTGTACGCAGGTCTCCAAATAGCAGATGAAAATGACCAGTTTTAATTTCATCCTGCTGTTTGGGAAAGTGAGTACCAGCTTTGCGTGTCTACAGTTACATTTTCTAACAGTTTCTGGCCACTGATGGGTGTTTCCAGAGAAAATCTCAGCATAGGGAAAGTCTTTGGGTAGATGGAACCTGCTTCAGATAATATTCAGGAATATTCTTTTCCTTTTTTGCCATCCATGAGAATAGGAAACTTAATACTTGAACAAGTGAAAGCAGATCATCTTTAATTCTGCTGCTTACTTCATGCTTCCTCATATTCATCAAGGAAGGTTTCTTATACACCAAAGGAATGGATTTTTCAGTGATACAGCCTTTTTTCTTGATTGCTTTACTGTTTTGAATGATGTCAGCAGGTGGTAAAAAGGTTACTAGAGACTGACATCCTCTATGTATCCAAAGCGGCATGGGGAGCAGCAACAGTGCAAAGCCATATGGTGCTACTTGTCACCTGGCAGGATTATTTGTACCAACAATGTGGAATGAGGAGGCTGTGGGTTTTATAATTTGAGGTAATATGAATTCAGTACTTTTCAGCTCTTGTGGGAATGGGTTAGAATCTGCTGATATATTCAGTGTTTGAGGAAGGATGTCCTTTTAACTGAGGAACAGAGTTGGGACTAAGACCTGAGTCCTGATTCTGCCATGGGCTTAGTGTATTGACTTGGGCAGGTTACTTTATCACTGTATGCTTCAATTTTTCCATCAATAAATTGGGATAATATTGAATGTCTTGACAAGATAGCTGGGAAGATTGATGAATGCTTATATTAATTGCGTCTTGCTTTCCTTGGATAGGATATGCTATATAGATACATTTTTTTCCCCTCCTCTCTGGACCCGGGGCAGAGCGTTGTGTACAAGGATGAGGTTGAGGTGTGATGGGAAGCATGGACACACAAACCTTCATATTCTGACTTCTTATCTTCCCCCTTACCTAGAGTTCCGTTGAAAGGAGACCCCAGAGGTTGCAAGACTACTCTATCAAGATGTGCAGCTCAGTTGCTCCCAGGCTGTGGTTCTTAACAGATCGTCGTATCAGGGAAGACTACCCTCAGCAGGAGATCTTGAGGGCGCTCAAGGCCAAGTGCTGTGAAGAGGAACTAGACTTTCGGGCCTTGGTGATGGATGAAGTGGTACTGACCATTGAGCATGGAAACTTGGGTGAGGATGAGGGGGAGGGCAGAGTATGGGCTGGGGAGGGGATCTGACAAGGAGGCTGTAATACTGGGGGTGGCTAATCTTTGTATTAATAAAGTACATATGTGCCAGCATCAGTATGTCTAATATAAATAGTTCATATAAATGCACTGCTCTTGGGTACTTGATCATCAAATAGAAATTGTTGACTTACAGTTAGATAAGTTTTATGCTCTGCCTGCATAATGAGGGGAGCAAAGCTGTTTTAGAGCAAAGAGGTCATGCTTGGGCATTGAAGCCTTACTATATGAGAAGGTTCTCTCCAAGAGATCATAGTGAGCTAATACAAGGTTAACTGTCTCCCGGATGGCTGGGTTGAAGAGAATTGATTTCATTTAATTTTTGTGGGTTTTGTAAGTTGATTACTCATGTTTAGGGGAAGCCATGAGGGTAATACATCAATATCTCGCTACAGGTAGAGAGCCAAGCAAACAAACTGAAAGTGAATTTCAGAGAGGAGTAATATGAATGATATTGGAAGGAGTGATTTATATTGAGATTAAAATAGTTAAATATCTGTAGCTTAGTTAAAAGATGACTAAGATGTGTCCTCTTCAAATATGATAAATATAAACATGAAAAATGAAAAGGTATATGGAAGAGGAAGTGAGCAGTGAGGAAATAAAATGTCAACAATGAGCACAGTTATTTAGGTTAGTTGAGACTGAAGAAGACTGGACTTAAAAGAACAAAGAAATTAGGTGAGTGGATAGCACAATGGCAGCGGGGCCGCCAGCCACTGTGTGCCACTGGGCAAGGTGAGGAGGGGCTACTTCACACTCCCGGAAAGGGCCAGGCAGAGGGTAAAAGGGGTAGGTCCAAGGGCATTCAGCCTTCAGCGCCACCAGGAGCATGGCAATGGTCCCTCCTCCAGTCCTCAAAGCTGTGCAGAGTGGCACTCGGGTGCTCCCATGGCAGTTCAAAAGGGACTGGGGCTCCACCTGCTGCCACAGTAGCAGCGGTGGCGGCCAGGAGTTCCCACATTTGTCCCCTCCATTGGTGGGCTTGCACAGTGGCAGATGAAATTTAGGGTTGACAAATACGAAGTACTGCATATCAAAATAACTTGATCTATTGGTACACCTTCATAGGTTCAGAATTAACTGTAACAGTTTTGGGAATAAATTCTTGGTGGTGTTGTGGACAATCAGTGAATACCTTTAGTAGTGATGAAAAAGAAAATAAGACATTAGGATGTATAAGTAATGGGATTTAAAATAATACTGAAAATACAATACCATTATTACAAGTGGAGTGACATTATGTATAGTTGTCTAGCAGTTCCCGTTATCAAAAGCTTTCTAACCTTTAAGATTTCTAATGCTCTGTGATTTGTATCAGGAGCATGACCTTTTCCTGTGGTCAGTGAAGTGTTTTGTGTTTTTCCCCATGAAGTTTGTTCAGATTTGGCAGTGATCATGTTGTGCAAGCTGTACTGAACTCCACAGAGTTTGCAAGAGTCTTACTGCTAACATTTCAGAACATTCCGTCTGCACTGAGCATTCTTCCTTATGCCAGGCTAAGGCAACTACACAGAACCATAGGTACCAGTATTGAAAGATAGATGGAGTGGGAAACACATTAAAAAGCTGGAGGCCAGAACATTTCTGATGGTAGTGGCTTCATCCACTATCAGAAGAAGAGATACTGGGCTGGATGGACCCAGTATAGCCATTCTTGTATTCTAACACTGTGCAGATATAATCCAAGAAGATACTGACATGCTGCTGCCAGCTCATTTTATTTTTGCAGAAATTGTAGGTACCTAATGTAGTGTAGGGTTCAA